CTCGCCTCGGCGCCCTTCCAGCGCAACCGCTTCCCACTGTGCACCTACGTCGTCAAGTATGGCAACCGCAAGGGACAAGTGTGTGGTGGCACTAACAACCCCCTTGCAACGTGCTTCAAGAAGAAGGACGACGAATGGTATGCCATTCACGAGGTGGAAAAGAAGCCGCCAAACTGGATGCGCCCTCGTAAGGCCAACCTAGTTGAGGTCCAGGACCACGCTTCGGCTAGTGCTAGTGATAGTGCTCCTGCTGATGTGCGTATCAACCTGTTGTTCCCTGGCACTGCCTTGATTAATGAAGCTACCTCCCAGTACATCGGGTCATCACAATCACCACAATACATAGAGTTCACACTCGACAGCGGGGCCACCCACAGTGTGCTCAAGGAGACACTCTCCTTCAAACCCTTCGCAACACCCATTCCTCTCTTGGGAGCTGACTCAAGCTTCACCATTCTTGCCAAGGGTACATCCACAGTCCCATGCCCCGCCTTCCCATCTGGCACTGTCACTGGTATGTGCGTGCCTTCACTACGCCACAATCTAGTGGCTCAAACAAAAATTCAGGATGCAAGACTACGTGCAGTCTTCTCGGAGAACGAGGACCATTGCGACATCATCGATCCACTCACCAACAAAATCCTAGCCCGCTTCACCCTCAATAGCAGCGGCCTCTACACGCTACGTGTACCTCTCCCACAGGTGTCAACCATCCAAGCACAGGCTCCTATCACACCATGCCCATGTGGCAGCCTCTCCAACCCGACCATTCTTTACCACCATCGGCTCGGCACTTAAACTTCCGCACGCTTGCTGACATGGCCTCCACGAAACTTCTTCTCGGCCTGTCAGCCGCACTTCCTCCACCACCTGACTCACCCGCTCCCACGTGCCTTGATTGCACCAAGAGCAAACTGCGCCAACAGCCCCATCCTGCCGCACCCACAGTCGCAGCAGCACCTCTGGACCTCGTGCACATGGACGTCTGGGGCCCTGCCCCCGTTCCCGCACGAGGTGGCCATCGCTACTTCCTTGCCATAGTGGATGACCACTCCCGCTATGTCTCTGTTCATCATGGCGTGGGTCAAGCAGGCACAGACCACCTTTGACCGCAAGGTCCAGCGCCCTCACTCGGATGGGGGGGGGTGAATTTTGCAACGACAAGCTCAAAGCCTTCTGCTCTTCAGAAGGCATCGAGCAAAACTTCACCCTTCCTGACAGCCCACAGCAGAACGGCAAAGCAGAGAGCCGCAACCACACCCTGGTGCAGATCACTCGGTGCCTCCTCAGCCATTCCAACGCTCCACTCTCTCTCTGGGGGTATGCCCTCTACCATGCCGCCCTCCTCTATAATCTTTACCCCCACCCGCATCTTCCCGACACCACTCCAACCACACTTTGGCTCGGGAAAACACCCACTGCTCGCTCTCTTCGCGCCTGGGGGTGCACCGCCTATGTCCTCCTCAACCCTCAGGCCAGGCGACAGCGCGGTGGCAAACTCGGTCCCAAGACTCAAACGTGCATCTACCTTGGGCACAACGCCAACTCCCCTGACTATCTCTTCCTCAACCCCTCCACTCAACAGTTAGTCTAGAGCCGCGACGTTGTCTTTGATGAACTCCGCCCATTCTACTCCACCTCGGGACCGGATTCTACTTCCGATCCACCCTCTCTCGCGTGGGCGGACTTTGATGCGCACCCTGACCTCCCACCTGCGCCGGCCCCCTCACCTCCTCCCTCTCCTGCCATTGCACCTTCCCCTTCAGAGATCTCTGACCCGACCTCGCCGGTGTCTTCGGCAGCTGCTCCTACATCCCCCTCACCTCCCACTCCGCCGACTGTGCTGTCACCTTCGAGCGCACCTATCACTTACCATCGGCGGTCACACCCTCCGGCCCCACATCCTCCTCCAGTTCCCCCTACCACAGAGGAACCCGCTCTCCCACAGTCGCCCGAGCTGATCACGTACTAGCGGCGGCCCATTCCACCACCCAAGCCTCCTAAATCAACCCCTCCGACACCGCCTGGCCCACCCTCTTCTCCGGTGGCTCATGGCACTCGCTCGCATGGCGCTGCTCTTCCACTGGCACTGATTCTTTGATGCACTGCGATCACTCCGCCTCCTCCTGCTGGGGGGGATGTGCCCTCTACCCTTTTGGAAGACAGGCATGAGGAGCTGTGTGATCTTCACGCTGTCATTCCTCAGCTCTCGCACATCTTCCCCGACATCACTGAATCACCCTCACTCAACTTCACGGAGAACCCGACCATTCCTATCCCTCTCACCGTCCAAGAGGCTCTCTCGGGTCCCCATGCAGCCGAATGGCGTGCTGCCATACAAGCTGAGATTGAAGCATTCACCCGCAACCACTCCTTCGACGACGAGACTCTACCTCCAGGAGTCAACATCGTCGGGGGCAAGTGGTTGTTTCGTGTGAAACAACTCCGAGACGAGGCCCCGGTGTTCAAAGCACGTTACGCAGCCAAGGGTTTCACCCAGCAGCAGTACCACGACTTCTTCAAGACCTTCTCCCTCACATTCAAACCTCCCACTATTCGCACGCTTATGGATGTCGCAGCACGAGAAGACTTTGAGATCAAATCCATGGACGTCTCATTAGCTTTCCTACAAGGACGTCTCAAGGAGACAGTGTTCGTGGACAGACCTGAAGGCTTCCCATGAGAATTCCCTCCCAACACTGTCTGGAAGCTGAATCGCCCCGTCTACGGCCTTAAGCAAGCCCCTCGCGAATGGCACAACAAGGTTAAAGAAGTCCTGAATCGCCCCGTCTACGGCCTTAAGCAAGCCCCTCGCGGCCCTGAGCAAGGCCCTCCTGATGAAAGACCTCGGTGACCTCAAGCACTACCTGAGGATGGAGATCACACGTGATCGCAAGGCTCGCACCACTTCACTCTCCCTAGGAGTTCTACATCAACAATGTGCTCAAACGGTTTGAGATGGAGCTGTGCACACCTGTTGCCACCCCGCTGCCGCTGCAACACCTCCTCACAGCCCCAGCTGTACCCACACCAGAGGCCTGCTATGAGGCATACCCGGAGCTTGTTGGGTCCCTCATGTACGCCATGATGTGCGCCCGACCGGACCTGGCATATCCTGTCAGTGTCCTCTCTCGCTACGTGGCCCCTAGGCGATTCACTAACCTTCACTGGAAGGCGGCGAAGCGGGTACTACGTTATCTCCAGGGCACCAAGTCTCACGTTCTCACACTCGGTGGGCTCTCCCCTCCTCGACTGGAAGGTTACACTGCATCCTCTTGGGCCGATGACCAGACCGACGACACTCCTCTCAGGGGTATTGCTTCACCCTTGGGAGCGGAATTGTCCGTTGGCGCTCCACCAGGTCGTCAGCAATCTCCCTCTCCTCCTGTGAGGCATAGCTCTACGCTGGCACCATGGCTGCTCAAGAGGCCCGTTGGCTCACCTTCCTACTCCAGGAGCTTGGCTACCCTCAGTCCACCCCCACCCTCTGGTGTGACAACCAGAGTACTATCCACCTCTCCCAAGACCCTGTGTATCACACTCGCACCAAGCACATCGAACTTCGGCATTTCTTCATCCGTGACCTTGTCCAGCGGGAGCAGTTGAATGTGGAGTACGTTGCATCTGACTGCAACCTGGCTGATCTGTTCACCAAGCCCCTTGGAAAAGTTCCTCACCATCGTCTCCTTGGCGCCATGGGGCTCTGTGCTCCACCTTCTCTGCCCTGAGTTCGATTGCCGCCTATGGGGGGGTGTTAGTGTTAGCCCTCAATCTCACACTTTGTACTTTATATTTTCTATATCCTAGAGTAGTGTAGTTTGCACTTTGTGTTTGGTTGGGTGTATACCTACATCCCAACCAATCCCAAATGTAATCTCCAAGCAATCTCCAACCCACCAATTGGAGATTGCCTTGGGATTACCCCCAATCCCTAGGGATTGCCCCCGATTCCCTTCCCCATCCATTCCCTACCCTGCTTGGATGTACTTAAAGAGCTTCAAGCTCATTACTAATGTATCAATTCTAAGCCTAAGTTGTGACACACCCTCCACTCCACTGTCTCTGCTCTTTTCCCAGCGATCTGAGCTCCAATCAACTGTCCAGTCCCATTCCCGAGGAGATTGGTTCTATGGTTGCCCTCAGCAAACTGTCGGTCACTCTCCTCCACCGCACCTCGTTATATCCATGTTTTCTACAGCCCTGCCTTTCCTTGTTCATGCACGCTCAATTCAAGTCTCATGCACCCTCCGACCCTTACTCATGCTCGCCACACTTCCTTTCCTTCCGTTCTTCCTGTGCTCTGCACGCCTTTCTCCCAGTGATCTTTCGGACAACCAGCTTTCGGGCAACATTCCAGCAACATTGGGAGCACTCGTCCAAATGGAATTCCTGTGAGCTGCATGCAGTTGCACCCTCCACAGCTGAAAAATATTTCTGGGACCCTGTGTGAAATTAGAGGCAGTAAGGAGCCATGGAAGGTCGGCGGTAGAAGAACTTGATATTGATTTTGATCTGGAGGTGAGGTGACATCCCAACAGAAGACTAGGTTGCGTTCAGTGTAGGATATGGACAAGAAAATGAAGTCAGACTGACATTGTAGTATAACTAGCTTTAAAGATCGTTGAAGAAAAGTAAAGCCAGGCCATTGCATTAGTAGTGAAGATTCAACCAGCAACACCTAGCCAAGAACTCTTATTGTCCCACTTCCTTTCTTTTGCTCGCTCGTTGTTGTTAGGTCACTACTGTTCTACTATTAGTCAGCCATCACGCCTTGTGCCCTGCTTTATCCGTCTCTCCTGTCCTGATGCCTTCAATCTGATGCTTCCATCCATGATCCTTCGCAGTGACCTTTCAAACAACTTGCTTTCAGGCGTCCCTTCCACCTTGGGGACACTCAGCCTCATGTCTTTCATGCGAGCTACACGCACGCATGCACCATCAATAATCACACACAAAAATGCGTATTTTTGTGCAACAACTGAGAGTCCCATACACGTAACATGTGGTATGATTCTCCAAGTTCCTCTTTCCTCTTTTCTTCCCACGAATGTTTTTTTCCGTTCACACGGGATCAACCACCAGCTGTGATTCTCAATGCCCGTCTCTCAACCACCAGGTCTCTCTCTTACAACGAGCTTTCTGGATCCATCCCTGCCTCCATTGGCTTCCTCACCAGCCTTACAGATCTGTGCGTCATAATTCGCCATTTGCTGATGCCAATGGACCAGAAATTTCATTTGAATCCACTTAAATATGTCTCCCCTCATTTGCTGCCACTTTTCCCCTTGGCGTTGTTTGCCGCCCTCCCATGCGGCTGCAGGGGCCTTCATTCCAACAAACTCTCGGGCGCCATCCCTCCCTCCATTGCCTTGCTGCAAAAGATCAATGCACTGTGGGTGCTGCGCTGTCTCTGCCAGTCCGCTGCTGCTGCTGTGCCTCTCCACCGCTGCTGCTACTCCACCCTCCACAGCCAGCCAGCAAGCTACCAATACACTGTGGATGATCCGTTCGATGTCATTAGGTTCATAGTCCATATTCCCAACTCATCCCTGCTCACACTCCACCCCACTGTTCCCCAGCGACCTGAGCTCCAACCAACTGTCCGGTCCCATCCCTGAGGAGCTTGGTTCCATGCTCGCTCTCACAAAACTGTCAGTCACTCCCATCCAGCACACCTCCTTGCACCCTTTCAACTTGCCATGCACGCCATTCTGTGTCCAGCGCTCACTCGTGCTTGCCTCACTTCCTTTCCCTGTGTACTTGCTCTTCCGTGCTTGCCGTTGCCCCAGTGATCTTTCTGAAAACCAGCTTTTGGGCAACATCCCTGCAGCCTTGGGAGCACTGATCCAAATGGAATTCCTGTGAGCTGCATACAGTAGCACCCTTGATAGCTGTAAAACGATTTCTTGGACCCTGTGTAAGAGTAAAGGCTTTTAGGAACCATAAACGGTTGATGACAAAAGAAGTTTGGCTAGAGTGTGGTCGGTCTAGGATGTGAACAAGTCAAATAAAACCGAATTCAAGATAAAACAAGCTCCAAGGATGGCCATGAATGTAAATCACAAGTAGTAACAGCTGTACAGCTGTAAATCTGAATCTCCCACCCACTTGCAAATTTTACTCACTCTTTGTTGTTAGTTCGTTTCTACAGGTCTTCCAATCGTGCCTTGATTTCTCCTTCTCACCTGTTCATTTCTAACCTGATGCTTCCACCCACTACACCATGATCCATTGCAGGGACCTTTCGAACAACCAGCTTTCAGGCGTCCCTTCCACATTGGGTGCACTCTGCCTAATGTCCTCCATGTGAGCTACACGCATGCAGTTGGTACTGTAGCGGCATTATTTAACCGCATGCACCATTTATACACGCCGAATAAAATGAATTGTTTTTACTAATGTACCAGTTGTGAATCCCATACATGTAGCATGGCATCGGATTCTTCTCCCTCCTCTCTTCTCGCTTCTCGCCTCGCCTATTTTCACCATCTGTTCACATTGGACTCACCATCAGCTGTGCTTCTCAATGCCTGTTTGAATGAATCCCCCAACCACAGGTCCCTCGCTTACAACGAGCTCTCTGGACCCATCCCTGCCTCCATCGGCTCCCTCACCAGCCTTACAAATCTGTACGCCACAATTTGCCGTTTGTTGACGCCAATGGACCAAATATCCCAATCGGGGGCCACTTAACTCTGGTTTCTCCCTTTTACTGCTGGCACTACTCCCCTTGATTTTTTTTATTTTATTTTTTTTTATTTTCCCGTTATGCGGAGAAATACACTAAAAGAATAGCATACAGGAGCATCACGCAGTCGTAACTGTATCAGGAGGGAAGCGCCACAGTATCAGGTACCGCGGATTCCCTATAACGAGCCTATGGTGGACAGTGTGTCATTCTCAGATTATGTTGTTTCGCCGCCCTCCCATGCTGCTGCAGGGGCCTTCATTCCAACAAGCTCTCGGGCGCCATCCCTCCCTCCATTGCCTTACTGAAAAATATCAATGCAATGTGAGTGCGGCGTTGGCACTGTTAGCCAGCCAATGCTGCAGCAGTCCCTCTCCACCACTGCTGCTACTCCGCCCTCCACTGCCAGCCAGCACGTTGCTCTGTTTGATCTCAACCGCCCCGTCTTGAAATTCTGTTTCCATACTCACTGCTGGCCACCCTCCACTCCACTATCTCTCCCGTTACCCCAGAGGCCTGAGCTCTAACCAACTGTCCGGTCCCATCCCCGAGGAGATTGGTTCCATGCTCGCCCTCACCAAACTGTGAGTCACTCCCCTCTGCCATACCTCCTTATATATTTCTTTTAACCATCCATGAATTTCCTTATTCATGCATGCCCAGTTCTTGCCTCTGGATCCTCTGATCATCACTCGAGCTCGTCTGAATTCCTTCCCTGCCATTTTCCTCTGCTCTCGACCGCTTCCCCCCAGTGATCTTTCGGACAACCAGCTTTCGGGCAACATCCCTGCAACCTTGGGAGCACTCATCCAAATGGAATTCCTGTGAGCTGCACACAACACCCTTCACAGCTAAAACATGATTGTGGGACCCTGTGTGAAAATAGACACAGTTATTAGCCGTGGAAAGTTGGTGGCAGAACAAGTTGGTGTCAGGTGCGATTGAGATTCAAAATGGAGGCGGTACCCCAGCCAAAAGCAAGAGTGTGTTCAGTCTAGGACATGAACTAAAAAACGAACCCCAAAATGAACGTTAAATGAAACTAACTGCGAAGGGCGTACAAAAGATTAAATAGAGCCATCGCACATAGTAAGGGAGCTCTAACCAACTGAAACACCCTGTACAGAAGAATCACGCCGGCTGAGTTTTCATGCCTTCCCACTTCCTCTTCCATTGTCTCGCTTTGTTTCAAATCATAACCACAAGTCGGCCATCGTCCCTTCTGCCCTCTCTCATCCTTCTCACCTACTCTTATGCCTTCAATCGTTCATGATCCTTTCCAGGGACCTTTCAAACAACCAGCTTTCAGGCATCCCTTCCACTTTGGGTGCACTCAGCCTCATGTCTTTCATGTGAGCTACACGCATGCAGCTGCATATATTTACTGCACGCACCACAGATACATGCCAAACCAAACAAATTAGTTTATGTTCACGTTGCAGTTGGGTCCCAATTGTTGGGAATCCCATACATGTAATGTAATGTAGCATGTGATCTGATTCTCCTCCTTCCTCTCTTCTCGCTTCTCGCCTCGCCTATTTTCACCATCCGTTCATATCGGCTCACCATCATCGACTGTGCTTCCCAATGTCGGTTTGGATAAATCCACCAACCACCAGGTCCCTCGCTTACAACGAGCTCTCTGAACCCATCCCTGCCTCCATCGGCTCCCTCACCAGCCTTACAAATCTGTGCGTCAGGATTTGCCGTATTTCGATGCTATCGGACCAGAAATCCCAATCCGGGTCCACTTAACTATGGTTCCTCTTAATTACTGGCACTACTCATCTTGGCTTTGTTTTGCCGCCCTCCCATGCTGCTGCAGGGGCCTTCATTCGAACAATCTCACGGGCTCCATCCCTCCATCCATTGCCTTGCTGAAAGACATCAATGCACTGTGAGTGCGGCGTTGGTATTGTTAGCCCACCAATGCTGCTGCAGTTCCTCTCCACCACTGCTGCTACTCCGCCCTCCACTGCCAGTGAGCACGTCGCTCTGTTTGATCTCAACTGCTTCATCTTCAAAATCTGCTTCCGAACTCACTGCTGTCCACCCTCCACTCCACTGTCTCGGCTGTTCCCCCAGCGACCTGAGCTCCAACCAACTGTCTGGTCCCATCCCCGAGGAGATTGGTTCCATGGTCGCCCTCACCAAACTGTCAGTCACTCCCCTCCACCGCACGTCGTTATAGCCCATTGTTTTGTCGTGCACGCCCAATTCTGGTCCCATGCATCCTCTGAGTGTCACTCGTGCTCGCCTCACTTCCTCTCCTTCCGTTCTTCCTCTGCTCTGCACGCCTTTCTCCCAGTGATGTCTCGGACAACCAGCTTGCTGTTCCATATGCTTATTTGACATGAGCAATTCAAACGACCATAGTTTTGCCTCGTACCTTATAATCAAGCAAGGCGAGCGTCGAGGGAAGGAGGGAGGCAGGGGAAGGTCTCGTGTGATTAACTCGACTCCAGTCGAGCACTCAATTAGCCAAGCCCCAGAGTGAAAAATGCTCCCATGGGAAGCGAGGATGGGGTTGCGGATGGGAGAACTGGAAGAAGAGGAAAAAGAGGTGGGGGGGGGGGGGGGGGGGGGGTGGGAGGGGAGGGGAGGTGAGTGTTTAGCTAAACCCTAAACCCTAAACCCTAAACAATAAAAAGCACATCTTTTAATTTGACCGGGTGGGTGCTCAATATGTAGCAATTTGATCCTGTGGTGTGAGCATCCGTATGGATATCCCACAGGAGCATGCCCAGTGGGTGCTTCAAATTGTTCATAATACGTATAATTCATGACTTATGGAGCCACTGCCAATGGTCACATGCCTCCTGCATCCCTACCGATCTGTCACCAACATCTTCCTCTCCTCTCTCATCCTCTCCAGGTAAACAAGCGTTCCATCCCCAAGATAAATGACCCGGGGAACTATTATACCAGTGGGTCTCTAAATCCACGAAAATACGGTACCTACTTTTCTACGACTTTCCTGGGTTTTCCTTTACATGAATGGCTTGCAAACATTGAGACATGAAGTCTTGGTAACTACAAATACCCATCTACCACCAATGACAACAGTTCTCTCTTCTCTCCCCCTTTCCCTCCCTCCAGCCTCCAAACCTGCAGTTTAGACCCCTTTGCTCAAATGTATCTCAATGCTTAATCCAACTTTCTGTCTCGTCAACATACCAACCTACTCGCCAGGACTATCCCATGGTTATCTTAACATATCTGCCTTGCTATGAAATACTATGTACCACCAATGACAATCGTCCACCACTTTCTGCTTCCTTCTCCCTCTTTCCCTCCCTCTTCCCCTTGCCCCTCCAGTAAAGACCTTCCCTCCTCCTTCCATCCCTTCCTCCCTTTCCTAAGAATGCTGGTTGGGACAGGAATCTAGATTGGTCCGCAATATGCAGTGGTGCCAAAATCGTGAGAATCCTAAAATACCTTTGCTAGACCTACGAAATGTGCGATGCGACGTTCTTTGCAACTTACGTCTTCGTGGTACAGTACAGTATTTTTAAAGGGAAGAACATTATGACTTGTGTAAAGTGGATTACACCCAACTAAACGTAGGGAGAATGACGCACATCTTCAAGGGTCTTGTCGCACGTAAGCCACTACATATCTATCCACGTGCTTTCCTTTACTATGGCGGTCTCTAAGTGGAAAGATAGCCTTTTAGAGTTGATGATGTAGTGCGTCTTAGAAGGCTTGAACTCCCTGCATACCATATTTGATACCGTAATCCCCCGGATAGAAGACCCCCCCAAAATACAACACTCCTGGGTATCTAATACGGGGGGGGGTACTTTATTAAACCTTGATTTGGTTATACCCCCCCTTTGGGGGGTGATCAATATAAGACCACCCCCCCCCCCCCCCCTTTCCCCTATAGGGGGGTTTTCCATGTACTTTTCACTTATTTCGTTTGAAACTGAAGCATTTTATAGTGCGAATTCGGCTTTCGGGGGTTGAATTTCCGTGTCAGGGGGTTGATTTGCTGCGTCAGGGGGCCAGTTTGCTGCGTCAGGGGGCCAGTTTGCTGCGTCAGCTGGCAGAATCTGCTTGTCAGGGTGCAAAATTGCTGCGTCAGAGGGGCGAATTCGTTTTGTCTAGTCAGGCGATCACCAAAAGCAAACCCACAACTTCGGTATTAAATTTGGTATTGAAAACACTAAACAAAAGTAGTACCATATGAAGAGGCCCGGGTGTTATATTTTTTTTCCCTTTGTTAACACCCCCCCCATTTTTTCTAGGGATTTAGCATAAGACCCTAGGGTCTTATATCGGAGGGAATACGGTAGTTCTAAGCAAAAAAATCCCCTGTTTGCTTTTATAAGATACCCCAGTGGGTGTCCTATTTCATACACGCAGAGGGGTCTCTTACCAAGAGAAGTTCCTTTTATAGGAGAACACCCGTGTTAAAGGCACCTATGTCGTCAATTCAACTCTGAATGCTCTGAAATCACATAATCTGAGAACCAGTGGAGAGTGCCTTACGGGTCTGAGTCGTCAAACTAATAAGTCTATTTCATCTGATAGCGTCAGCCCTAGGAGATGACAGCGCTGAAATTGCAACAAGATGAATCAAAACAGTGCACAAGTGGTCCCATTAAGGCACACACGCACACATGTAAGGTCTTTGCTGGTACAACATGGCAGTGTCACCTCTTGCATGGTGGAATGGAACCATTGAAGGTATCGGTGAAACAGAAAGCTAAAATCCAAACGCAAAACCTACGATTAACACACCGACGGCTATTTCGTCAAAATCCCGAGGATAAAACAAAAGGCTTCCTGGCTATAATACTACGGCAGCAGACGGTAGCTAAAATCCTGATGATAAAACAAAAAGCAACATGGCTCCAAATATTACGGCGTACATATCATACCATTGCCTACCTTACCAACACAATCCTTGGCGTTATACGTTTTGAACTCCTCTTTATCCTTGAAGTACTTTGAAATAACAGTTGAACACGACGAGCCCCGTTTCACTTTAGTCTTCTTGCCAATATCGCATCGGCCAGCTTCGAATGACCAATACTCTGCCCTAATACAAATCTGGCACAAGAAGCAGAATAAACAAAATGTTCATGAGGACAAAATGCTTCAAGATTGACTGAAATGAATGCGGATGAAGATACTGTAGTGCCACGATTGATGAACTGAATCACCCCATGGAACATTGATGAACCTCTCTATCTGTGAATTGTGGGTCCGTTTCAAAGTGAGCGTGAATGCTGAAAGGGGGGTGCGTATGATCGAACACTAGGCGCATTTGTCCTTGTATAAGCGGCATGCACTTATAAAAGGGTGCGCATATATCCAAAAAAATCACAGGTAATTGATTTTTATTAGGCGCGGAAATACGGGCAGTACAAAGAACAAGCTGCACCTATGAACCCTTACCTCCACTTTGGTTCCGCTAGGGACGGTTCTGGAGCAAGTGAGGCCGGGATTGTTGCGGTAGAGCTCAGCCCAGTTACTTGCAGTGACAGAAGCACCCGGCTCGTTGATGGTCCTATTAAGCAGCACCCCACACGAGTCTTGAGACGTCAGCGTTTCGTATCTCACACAATCAAAGACGTTGTAGGCGAATTCAGCGCTGCGCTCGATGCACACTGACAGGCCCGACTTTAGGCCACCAGACGAACAATTAAGGCCGGGGTTGAGAACAGCCAGATCGATTCCACCCAAATCCTTGCTAATGGATGAACAGTTGTCACCCTGCAGGGTTGAAATTGAAACGGGAAAGTGCACATGATGAGTGCATGGTGTTTATATGGCTAGCCAGCTTCGCTAAGAGTATGGTGTGGTGAAATATAGCGACAACTGATCACACCTTGAGTGTGTAGAAGAAGGCAGTGCAAGGCGTTACAGGAGTCCCACCAATCTGAAGAACAGTGCCTTTTGGCAATGGCTGACTGCAGATTATCCCCTGCTATGTAAAACAAATGCATGAATGTCTGGTGGGGTGAGTGCGAACGTGTGCTTATAAGCATTGCACACCAATACAGGACATTCGCAATAGTTCGGTGAAGAAATAGCATTCTTGAAACCGATGATCCACACAGGTAAGAACTCATAGATTGCGCCCAACACAAACTTTAACCTGTAACTTGATTCTTACCGGATTGTAAGTATAGAAAGTTGCCATGGAAACGCCAACAATTAGATACACATCTGAACACTGCCAGTTGTCTCCACTAACTGTCATGTTTGTGGCTGTGGTGTCCGCTGTTGACAGTGAGTAGAGCAAGGCGAAGGTACCACGCACAAGAAGAAAAAGGAGCAAGGTTTTGAGGGAGATCAGCTCACTTTCTCCTTGCTATGCTGGACAATATAACCACAGCAACCTGAAAGAAAGAAATCCAACAAGGTGGATGGTTGGGGGATCACCTGGTTCACAGGTTGGGAAGCCGTAATTTGTAGCTCTTTCAATGTGGTTTGGAGGGCAGATGCAGGAGTATGATCCCTTGAAATCGTTGATGCATAAGCCCACGTAACATGGGTTCTTGAAGTACGACCCACACACATCCACTGCCACAATTAGTGTACAAATTGGAGAGTGGGAAGGATCAAGAATATAGGACCGTGTGGGAGTTTGAAACACGGAGATTAGGTGCAAGAGAAGCTTGTACACATGGATTCGCCACCTCCATGGGGCCCCTTCCTTTATCCAATGAGCAAGGAAATTACTTACAGCCAGATCTTACCATAAGCACATGTTTTGGAGCCGTAACCATTATCAACCTCAACAAAAGGTTGCCTCATATCTTGAGGAACTTGAGAAATATTGCAGCTGCAGCGCTGGCCTTCATTGTCCTCTTGACATGGGAACCGGCCACACGGGTTCATTATGCCGTACTGATCCTGATCACCACGGTAGCTTCTTCTCCTACAGGGATCCCCTGGAACTGAAAGGTGATAAAGGGTACAGACAAAACCCACAACAACGGAACACTAGGTGCAGGACAAAAACAAGTTGCCAGGCCCTTTGCATCTCATGCCCTTTGGCCTTTACAGCATCGTTCTGATAAATTTTCAAGCACAACCAAAATTCTCGAGCACTAGTTTTGGAGCGACGATGCCAGAAATATTCAACCTTGGTTGGATGCCATGCTCCTAACATTGGGGTGGATATGTCACTCTTGACATTGAAGCTGACAGTGATTTTTTAAGCCTAACTGACGACAATGGGCTCATAAATTCACACACGACAAGGGTAGATGCCTCACTCTTGATAATGGGGTAGATGCCAGGCAGCACGTTGATCCCACACACGCCATCCCCTCCCTCTATGGCCATGCGCATGTGGCCACCGTCGCCCCAACTAGTTCCCCATGAGTTGCGAATGATCCAAAAGGGAGGAGGAATGCGTATCTGGCTGCCATCATCTCTATTGATGAAGTAGCCAATGACGAGTACGACGTGGTTCAGACTGCCGGTGTAGCAAGCAGGATCCTGGTATTTGAACGTCTGGAGCAGAGAGGGGAGAGGACATACTTCCGTTGTAAATACAGTGGACATGCATGGTCAGCTATGCGAATATTACATTGAGAGACGATGCTCGAACAACATGTTTTCCATAATGCTGTGCGATGTGAATGTTGATGTCATCCTCCTAAAAGATTGCAGCACAGAACATCAATGCTGCAATGACTCACCCCATCATAGCTGATGAACGTGTCAGCTAAGGCCTCTATGTGAACCACCACTGGCTGGCGCTGCACAGCCAGCATGAGACCCTCATGCCCCTTGAAGTATGCACGCTCAAATGCGTGCACCGGATATGGTGTTGCCTAGGAACAGGAGAACAAACTCAAGAAATTAGTAAGAAAGAGGTTGGATTCTGCGATGGTATTCAGCAAGGACACATGCTGTCATGCGACTCTTCTGTGAGAAAAAAATACATCAACAGAGATTCACCACGTAGCCATCAGTGTTACAAACGTATATCAGTAACACTACTGGTTTTTCACATATATTTGTTTTCTCTTTTCCAACTTGGTTATTCAGGTGCTCCAACAGCACATTTTGAAATTTGAGAGTACGCCTCTCTCATGATTCGACCTCACTTCAATTACCATAACCTCATTCAAGTTGCCTTACCTGATTGCTTCCTCCCATGAGTCCACTGCTGGCATCAAGAGTCACAAGCTTCTCAAACGCCTGAGTGGGGGAGCCTCCAGCGGTGCACTTAGTATCGGTGAGCCCCATGGCTGCAAAGAGTGGCTCCACTGACAGCTGAGGAGCGATCTGATTCGTTGCAATGCCATATGCTGCCTCCACACTTGCCACCACCGCATATGCCCAGCATGCACCTGAGAAGAAGTGAGAATAACATTTACCATGGAAGGAAGTCACAATAAGTCATCCTGCAGTGCTGCAGAGACCATGCAAGCAGAGAAACAGTGCACCTCTCATTTGAAAATGAATATTCTAAGTGACATACTTCAGGTCCACCCTCATGCCACTCACTGCAAGCCATCTGATGCTTGACAGGCCAGCCAAGGAAGGCCACTGAGTCCCAGGTGTGGAAGTCACGGACGGCCCACGAGTCGCTATTGGTTGTTGTCCATTCGTAGTCCGCGCTCACATAGCGGAAGAATGGGTTGGCTTGAGGTGGTGCAAATGCGCCTCCAGCTAATTCGAGGCCAAGGGCTGTGAAGGGTAGAAGGGGTGTTTTAAGTGAGACATGAAGTTACAGGAGGTGGGAGAGAGGCAGCTAGGAAGCACACATGGCATGCAAAGCACGGATCAGCTTTGGAAATTATGTTGAACACAACCAAGTAGCACAACTTATTAGTCCATATATTTCCAGTCGATTATGTGCATCCAACATAGTTATACAGAAGTGAAACGGTGCTGCCAATATCTAGACGTTCTGCATGTCACATGACATCCAGCTCACCTTGAGTTGTGCTCTGGACTAGCTTGGTCGGAGGCACACCTGTACTAGACACAAGTGGGGAAAACAACCACACCAGCCTTAAGAGGATGGTTGGGCCATAGGAAATTTAAACTACCTCATGAGTGGCTGGCAAATGCAAACTCACTTCAACCATCTACCACGATTCTTCATCAGCTCCATGCGGACCTGACTTGGGCAAACAAGGCTTAACACGATTTGAGAAGGCTCACCACAAGTCAAGCCATGAGTCAGGGTGGCCTTGTTGCGACTTCAAACTAAGCCGATACAGCTGAGTCTGAACGCAACCTCAATGATCAAGCCACATCAAGCTGGCTTTGGTCTGACCCACCGTGAGCCAGATTCAATTTGCACAACTGTGGCAGAGATGGCCACATTTTTGGTTGCAAAAATGCTATTCTCTCTACCACCTACATAAACCCTCCCTGAACAGTCATTCTCCCCGATAATCTTGCCATTTGGACAGTCATCGTCATCAATTTTCCATCTCAGATGCTCGTCATTTGAACACCCATCACCACCAGCACTACTCCATTCAAAAAGTACTTGCCTGCACTCATGCCAGACTTGAGAATGGCGTGCCTCTGAAAGGGCTTCACAGTGGTGGATGCCACAAAGCCAAAGAAGAACGCTGGCTGCTGCACACTAGGCTGCAGCACCTCACACAGCGACAAAGTGCTCTGCAGAAGTGGCTTTCCTGGCTTCACGTTGGAGTTGGCTAGAAACACCCGGACTGTGCCACGATTCCACGGGTCGTAGTCCACCCATGCCGTGTACGCATCGCCGTTGGTCAGAGTGAATGACGATTCCACTGCGATCACGGATTTATCCAGGCCATTTATGTTGAGCCCCACATGCTGCTGCTTCATATCATTGTGCTTGGCATTTGGAAGCGTGTCAAACTCAATGGCTACACTCCGCATTCCCATTCCACCATACCCTACGCCATCAGCTTTCCCCAACTTGCCCTTTGCCGCAATCACAAACGCAAAGCCATTGGAACCGACTGAACCATACTGGGGAGTTAGGGAGAAGGTAAAGTTGACACTGAAAGCCAGCTCCACACCACATCACGTGCTACCGAAAGAAGCCGGATATGCAAACAGAGTCACTGGCTTTGCCATGAACTTCCCCACTGTCTCCCGTCGCATCCCCTTTGTAAGCACGGTGAATGAGGGGAGAATGGGCCTAGTGGTGGTTGAGAAGTCTTTCTCCCAGCCTGAAAAATATGAGATGGATAGGAGTGTTGGAGCAATGGTGTCTTTTAAGCTGGAAAACAATGGGTGGATAAGTGGTGCACAGATCAGGGAGACACACAAACACTGGCAGCACAGAGCGCGAAGGAATAGTCAGGCTTCGGTACTAACATGCGGAAGGCACAGCATGTAACAAGTTTAAGATCCGTACAGTAAGGGTGTGTGTCTACGCCGTTGGTTTAGAATGAGAGTTCGGTGCGGCAAAATAAATGAAACTGCATGAACCAATACCTTCCGCAAGACAGCTGATTCTTCCGACCCGAACATATCCCGGTTCACACAAGCACGTTGGCACCAAGCTGGGCCCATCTGGATAACACATGCCATGACCATCACAAGCACTGGCGGTATGGTACAAGGCATTGTTGATGCCACAGAAAATCATGCAGTCTACTGGACGACGCTGCCAAGAATAGATCCAGAAGTTGTCTGAGAAGCAATTGCTAGATACACGGTTGTCTTTGATGGCAAGGTAGCCCGTGAAGTAGTTGCTTGAAAGGTCCATGTTCCACCATATAAGACCTGTAATGGGGCCTGAGAAGTAGTTGTGCGAGGCATCGCTGCCAGTCAAGAACAAGAGGTGTGGATGATGTGATGGGGTAGGAAAATTGTATAGAGACACAGTAGAGAGAAAAAAAATGTTTTGACACAGGAAAGAAATTGAGTGGAATGAAGGCATGCAAAGACGGGGAGAGAAGGAGAAAGATGAGGAGGGGGAGGAGGAGGAGGAGGAGGAGGAGGAGGAGGAGGAGGAGGAGGAGGACGAGGAGGACGAGGAGGAGGAGGAGGAGGAGGACGAGGAGGAGGACGAGGGGGAGGAGGAGGAGGAGGTGGTGGAGGAGGAGGAGGAGGAGGAGGAGGAGGAGGAGGAGGAGGAGGAGGAGGAGGAGGAGGAGGAGGAGGAGGGGAGAGGGGGAGGAAAGCAGCACAAGGAGGCACCGGAGAGAGGGGAGAAGACAAACAATGAAAAATTGGAGCAGTAAGAGAGTTGAATGGGAAAGCATCACATCACGAGAGAGGAGATAAGTACAGAGATATTGAAGCTACAGTAGATCTTGCACAACAAATGTCAGGTCAGATCATGAGGCAGCTTTAAGCCTAAACAAGAGGTGGAGGACGCAAAACCATGAGGATATTATGTCCTAAAAGGAGAGGAACAAACAGGATGAGAGTAATAGCATAGGGAGTTGAAAGCCATACAAAAGCAAGGAATAATGGAGGGAGAGTTTACAGAAAACAAAACAAGCTGAAAACAAGCCAGAAGAAAGACGAATGAAAAGAGAAGATTAAAAGGACAAAGTTCGAGCCAGGGGCAACAAAGGTTCTATATCACAAAAAATATTCTTGGAAGTATTAGTAGTACTTGGAGAAAAAGGCACGCAATGCAGTGGCAACAGCATGGCGAGCTGACAATTAGAAAGCGGAGGAATGCGGGTGAGAGCAGAAAGCAGTGAATGAGGGAGGAGAGACGCGGCTACAGTTCACTGATGACCTCATATTATATTTTGGCTGACCTTGAAGTAACCTTCAGCCTTACTTTTATTTAGATTACTTTCCACCATTTCCCCCAAACTGGTCACACCCTGGATTTTATTGGGGTTCACAACAATCTGGACAATAATGTTTATCAGCTTTACGGTTTAGAGTTTATGGTGAAACCCCAACCCAAGCTACACACGTTGCTAATACAATATTTTGGTTTTCTAGGGTAACACACCGGTAGGCTTATTAGCTTAATTCAACACGGACAAGCAACAGGGGGAGGTTGAAGAGGATGCAGGAAGGTTATTGTTAGCCCTCTTTTGCCTCCCACAGAGGCATGTTTAGAAGCTTCCCTCTAGTGGTTGCCAACGACTCACTCAACTTGCACGCTCCTCCAACCCTCTCCCTTCTCACAGCCCTAAAAAACTCTTCCCCATTTTTGTCTCTCGTACATCGTATCACATGCTGCTAAGCAATAACTTCTCCGCGACTCATCACCTTGCATTTGGCTCGATGTAAATCTCCAACGCTCTTACCTCATACCTCTAAAAACATAGTTTCACACGAGGTGGATTGGGAAGTATACAAGAAGAAAACCAGTAGAGGCCTCACAAGAATGCCCCGTTGGATGTGGCAATGCCAGCAGGAATGGAGCCACTGAAGGCATTGTTGTTGAGAGTCCTGAGAGAAGCACCACACAGGGAAGCCTGAGAAAGCAGACAGGTATCACAAAGATACAGCAATGGCATCACAAGTAGGGATGAGCAAAGGGCGAACACAAACATGTTTCGTCTTCGCCCCTTGTCGAACACCCTCTTTGCCGAACCGAACACTGTTCGGTTCGGCGAACAGTTTAGGAAAAAAACAGGTGTTCGCTGTTCGCCTGTGGAGGGCGTGTTCGGGCGAACCTCGAACACGTTCGTGTTCGCCACGGGGCGTCGCAGCAAGCGCCACGAACACAAACGTGTTCGGGCGAACATTGACACGTTCGGGCGAACGATTTAAGCTGAAAAACAAAACCTGTTCGGTTCGCCTCGAACGTGTTCCAGCCGAACCGAACAGATGTTCGCCACCTTGCTCATCCCTAATCACAAGTTAATGTCTGAAATCAACCATCCATGTTTTTACTGTCAATTGTCGATGTTTTGTTTATGTTTGTTAGTAATGAGACACAAGGGACCAAGCATCCATGAAGAAGGCATTACAAGTAGTAGAGTCGAATGAGTGTCGAAATGAATGAAATATTGCCTGTGAGCTTGTTTTCTGTCCAAAGTTCTGCAGATACATCCAGGGCATATCATGGCGCATACAAGTGGCAAGGAAGCGAGGAAGACACGGCTTTCATCGACACAGCACTTGTAAAAGAGAAAAAGAAAAGGTGCATAGAAGGAAGATGGGAGGTGTGAAGAAGGGAATTAAACAAAGGTTTTTCAAAATCTGGAGTCAAATGGGCAAGAATGAGAACAAAACTATTGTGCCAGAATGCACAATTGATTTAGGCATTGATGGCAACAGAAAATCAACATTGGAGGAACCGGGTACCAGAGAGGAGAATCGAAGGGAGGATGGCAATAGAAACAAAAAAATCAGATGAATAGTAAGAGAATTTAGTGATGAAACATATTTCTGCTAAGATCAACCACATATTTCGTAGTGCACAATATTTCCGGAACGGAAGAAAGTCTCAGCCGGTAAAGGTGGGAGCAGGAGAAGAAAAGGGCCATACAATACTGTCAATTGTTGTAACGAGCTTAGGCTGGCAGGAACGGGGCCCTCGAGCAGATTTCCTCCGAGATAACTATGTTTGTAAACATATGTAGAGATACCAGCAAGTCACGAGAGATGTCGAGATGGTGGAATGGGTAGGCAACGAGACGAAATACGTATTCAGGTTCATAAGCGAGGATGTGAGGGTAATTAGGACGAAAAACAAAAAACACGAATTCAGAAACCATATCAGAATGGGAACAATGGGTAGACAATGTCACATGAGCATGCAACCATACCGCTACAATTTTTGGCTGTCTGGTTCTATGAACCGGTCTGTTTGAGCCACAGTCTGTCACATCAAACCAGTTTTGATGTTTTTTTTTCGCAGAAACTAGTGCGGCTTTGGCTACACAGCTGACCATCAAGCAGTCTTCTAGCTCATTCTCGAGCTCCAACTTCGTTCACACCTACTCTTTCCTTCAAAGAAGAGCATACTGAGTCATATGGAGTCAGCAGACACGATTTCTCAGGCCTGAGTCCGACCAAACAGGTGAGGACGGGTAAACGGATCACCATGTGGGTTGAACCCACTTGCATAGCCATGATTTGAGTCAGACAATAGAACGGGTAAGGGAATCTTTCTAGGAGTCATACATTGGAGCTAGGAATAAGGGAAGCAGAAGTGAGCACATGTTGCTAGAGCAGTGAGGAATGGAAGGAGAGAGTCATTGAGGATATAAATGAAGAAGGGCCAAAAATACGGAGTAGCACAAATAAACAGACTAAATTCCAAATGAAGGTACATGGATGTTGAGGCACGTTAAAGCCTGGATTCTTACAGCAATGTGAGATTTTTGAGATTGCCAATTCCCGGATGGAATCGAGCCAGTGAGCTGACTTTTATCAGCACGTCTGTAAATCAGAAAGCGAATTAAAACAGAAGATACACACAGGGTTAGATGCGAGGAGAGAGGAATTTGAGTAGAATGGAAGAAGTATGGAAGGAAATAGCATTCAAGTATGGAAATGGGCATTGCAACAGCAAAAATCTGCACGGGGATGATAAGGAAACGAAATGAAGTGGAGCAGAGGGGAACAGATGAAGAGCAAAAAAAACTAGGGCAGGAAGAGCAAAACATACGAACAGGTGAAGTGAGTTACTGTGGTCATGGAGCTGCTGTTTGTCCTCTGCACTGCACGGGTTGACCATACATACGTACGCAACATGAACGGTCTGCAGAATTCCAAGTCCTCCTACAGACAGACCCTTCACGGAGTCAATTCCCTATATCCAGCTAACTCGTATGCAAAGAGGGAATAAGCATGAACTATGGAATGTAAACTCCGGTGGTGGTAAGCGTATGGGAGAGGAGAGGAGAGGAGAGCATGACACTGTATAAAGGACGATTTCTTATTAGTCAGGAGAGGAGAGGAGGACACAATAGGAGGCAAAATAGTTGTACTGGATTGGCAGAGATGGGAGATTGGAGCTTACAGATATGTTAGTTTTGTGAGTTTGCTGATTTCATCAGGGATTGAACCACTGAGCAGATTTGGGCCAAAACTTCTGTCATAACCAATATGTGCACGTATGTCATAGACGAAGTATGTTTCGTTAATTGTATGACCAAGTGCACAGAAAAATATCAGTAGCACCACAGAAGCATTGGGAAAGCCCCTGGTATGCAAAGACAATCGCAAAAAAGCGAGAGAGTCAGGATTTGCGGGCAGAGAGAACTGATTTGGTTGCCCCAAGGTGTGAGAAACGGACAGGTGCGAGTCGATGGATTCAGCAAACAATTGGTGAGGGGAGGGAGATGAGATGACACATGCAAATGGAGACAGATGTGAACGAGATGATTCAGGCAAAGGCTATGGGCCTAAGGGCCTGACAGGGAGGAAGGGAGGACTGCAGATGAATGACAAAGAGGACAAAAGTGTGGAGAAATCACAGCCGTCACCACTGTGCCAAATAGGCGTGTCTTTTTAGTGGGCATCCACTCCACACGCCCCTATTGTACCAATCGTGTCATCAATGTGAGAGCTTATTTCCAACTCCTACTGTCACGGGGGGTGCCGCCGGGGACACAGCACTTTCTGGAATACACTGGCGACTCTTGCTTTCATTCATGCAAAGTCTTAACAGAAGTTACTCCCGCACCCACGCAACCACGTCCATAAGCTCCTGCCAGTGCTTCCCAGGTGCCCACAGTGGAAGGGACAGAGAAAGCACTTGCAGCAGTTTCACAAAATAAAAACTCGACTAGCTGCTGACACTTACAGGAGCCGAAAATTGTCTGTGCTAGCCATCGTACCCTCCTCCGGGTACCGACATTGTTGTGTTATAGCCAAAGCCTGACATGCTCCTCAAGGGTGCTATAGTGCCAATCATGGTGCCAGCAAGAACCAGAACTCGACCTCAAGTATATAGTGACCACCAAACTCGCCACCACCAGTACCATCCGAGGCGGTTGGTGGCGCTCCAGCGGAGTCAAGCAGCTTCCTGTGTTACAACTTTGTGAACCAGTATCACAATCCGCTAACCAGGGTCTTGCTACATAGTAATCAGTCTAACATACAAGCTGTCTTACCTACAACCTTACACTGACCTTGAGGATGTCTCAAGTGATATCCACTCTACAAGCACTAAGTAGCATTATTAAGTAGAGATCAGGGTAGTGAAGCGGAAGCGTAGCAAAGAGGACTGGCACTGAAGCGAAACAATGAGTCAAAGGTACAGCAATGAGAAAGCCTTACATGGCTACCAAGGAGGTCATTGTGCAAATTTCGG